TTTCTCATCCAAATTATGCCTACTTTTCAGACTTCACCTTTGGCTGTCTAATTGATGGATGGAACTTTAATGTTTAGGGTAAATTGTACTTATTTTAGAAAGAATAATCCAAATCAATGACCTTCTCTCTATCTCTCTCTCATCCATATTATGCCTGCTAATCAGACTTCTCCAATGAATATCTAATTGGATGGATATATTTTTATGTTAAGTGCAAATTATGCTTAATTAGAATGAATAATCCAAATCATTGATGTTTAGTGCAAATTGTAATTTTTTAGAATGAATAATCCAAATAACTGACTCACTTATGATTATATTCAACATCATCATCGTCTTGTCCTTATCTCAATTGTTTGGGGTTAGAAACACTAATCCTGTTCCATTAATAAGTTCAAGATTCATGAAAATATGTGGAAAAGTTTTACAATGTGGCTGCCTACAAACAGAACCCTCCTCCTTTATCTGGGCTTGAGATTGGCATGACCTTCCATCATGGAGTTTGAAAAATTCATTTATTATCCTCCAACATTATCCTCGCAAACTTTTTATTCCTACCCATATCACACAGATCTTACTCTTGCTATACATCTTGCCACCATGCCATTGCTGCTCATAACTTGTTTTCTCTTCTTACAGGTATTTTAATTACAATTACAATGGGAGCAATACTTATAACAATAGCAATTATTATGATGTCCAAAGGAATAATTAAAATGTCCAAAGGAGTAGAGGGCCAGAATGTTGAGGAGTTCCTTAGGAATTATGGAAATGAAATGCCCACAAGATACTCATACAAGGACATCAAAAAAATGACCAACAACTTAAGGGAAAAGTTAGGTCAGGGAGGGTTTGGAAGTGTATACAAAGGTAAGCTCATTGACGGGCGCCTCATTGCTGTAAAGGTGCTAGCAGAGCCAAAGGGTAGTGGTGAAGAATTTATTAATGAAGTTGCAACCATTGGCCGTATACACCACATAAATGTGGTTCGCCTTCTTGGTTTCTGTGCTGATGGTTGGAAAAAAGCTCTTATATATGACTTCATGCCCAATGGCTCTCTCGAAAGATTCATTTTCTTTGACAAACCGCGAAGCCATTGCCTCCATTGGGAAACACTGTATAAAGTAGCACTTGGTACGAGTCGTGGGCTCGAATATTTGCACCGTGGTTGTGAAACTCGCATACTCCATCTCGATATCAAGCCTCATAACATTTTGTTGGATGAAGACTTTTGCCCCAAGATTTCTGATTTTGGTCTTGCAAAGCTATACTCCAATAAACAAAGTGTAATATCACTAACTGGTGCTCGAGGAACGATTGGTTACATGGCTCCTGAAGTATATTCAAGATCATTTGGGGTTGTTTCACATAAATCCGATGTGTATAGCTTTGGAATGTTGCTCTTGGAAATGGTTGGTGGGAGAAAAAATTTTGATCAACAAGCTAATTCTAGTGAAGTATACTTTCCAGATTGGGTGTATTCTCGCCTTGAATGTGGAGGAGATCTTGAAGTGGGAGATATCAAAGGAGAGGAAGAAGAAATGGCAAAAAGGATGATGGTAGTTGGTCTTTGGTGCATACAAATCAACCCAACGGACCGTCCAAGTATAACCAAGGTGGTTGAAATGCTTGATGGTAACTCGCAAACTTTAGTTTTGCCTCCTAAGCCTTCATTCTCTTCTCCAAAGAAGAGATCTTCCCTCGAGTCAGATTCTGGCCATACAGAAATGTCCATATTGTGATAAAGGCGTAATAATCCTTGGAGGTATAAACCTTTTTTCTAGGAGAGAGAGATTTGAAAATTTGAATTACATAAAATCTTGTCATGATTTCAAATCCAACTTGTAATTGACCACGGTTTTCACAGGTGAACAATAATGTTATGGCCCAACAACCACTCTCCCTCCTCTTCTACCCTAACTTTCACCAATGCTTTCACTGAATAAGGTGACCCGTTGGTTAAATATTAGTTTGTAGAGTTTTCCTAATCTTTTAGTTTAAATAAAGCTTTCTATTTTTGTTTTCTTTTATAGCTTATTTTTCTGTTCATTATGGAGCATGGTGGTGAGCCTCCTTGGATTTCAAAGCAACTAATACTATTATCCTTTTATTAGGAAATGATCAATGCATCATTGCCCTTTTATTAGCAATATTTATTTTAAGGAGAAGTATAAAAAGAGACCATTTACTTTTAATACAAGGAGATCATAATCATTCTTGTCCGTCAGATTTCAAATCCGATGATTGTGAGTGTATCATTGACTAAACTCATAGTTCAAAAAAATAAAAATTTTTCCAACTTTGTGGAATATCCCAATTCATCAAATTTAACATCTAATAGTTAGTAGCAATTATGACCTCCTTGTGACAATGATAAATAGTCTCATTGTGTATAATCCCTTGATTTCTAATTGGTTTCATGATGTTCGTTAAGTTTAGCGAGCCACCAAATGCTGTAGCTGAAACATAAGCCCAAAATTTCCTTGATTTAGTGAAAAACCTCGATCGTCTTCGTCCGTAGAATTTTTGCAAGGGAGAAGGAATTGTTCGTCACTTCACCACTCCAAAAACGGCGCAACAGATTGGAGTTGCTGAGCACATGAACATGACACTTTTAGATAAGACCCACGACATGTCGAGTAATACTGATATGCCAAAGGATTTTGGGCTGAGGTGCACAATACGGCATGTTACCTCGTCAACAAGTAATCGTCTACAATAATAGATTGTAAAACACCCGAAGAAGTATGGTTCGATAAACCTGCTACTTATTCTCATTTAAGAATTTTTGGTCTTCCTACTTATGTTCATGTGAAGGATGATACGCTGAGTCTAAGGTTAAAAAAGTGTATTTTCCTAGGTTATGCGAATGAGGTTAAGGGATATAGAATGTGGTGCCCAGATCCTTAAGCATATAAGTTTATGCCCAGATCCTTAATCATCTAAGTTTATTGTCAATGGTGATGTTAAGTTTGATGAATCAACCATGTTAAAGCACATTCAAAAGGGTGTAGAAAAGGAAAATTGCAGCAGTAGTGATGTAGTTGAGGTGGAATTGATAACTCCAGAAAATACTCCAAATTATGTGCCCAAAATTCCCTGTAAGAGAGTGGAGGAAGATGTTGACCATGAGAAGTTCGTTGAACCTATTCCATTTGAGGAAGAACCTCAGTTTGGAAAGGGAAAGAGAATAAAAAAGTCAATCGTGCGATACGGTTTTTAGGACATGGTGACTTATGCATTGGTTGTCACAAGTCAAGAGACATCCACTTTTAAGAAAGCTACGCAAGATAGTGACAGTAGCAGATGGAGTGAAGCCATGGATGAAGAAATGGAATCTCTTCAAAAAAATCGTACTTGGGATCGTGAAGTTACCTAAAGGCATGAAAGCCATTGGTTGTAAATGGGTTTATAAAAAGAAAGATAAGTCACTTGAAACTGGTGGTGGTTGATTTAAGGCATGTTTGGTTGCAAAAGTCTATGCGCAGAAAATAATTGTTGACTATAATGAGATTTTCTTCTCAGTTGTGAAACACAATTCTATTCGTGTTTTACTAGACATGATTGCATTGTTTGATATGGAGTTAGAGCAGTTTGAAATCAAGACTGCATTTCTTCATGGAGAGTAGACGAACAGATTTATATGACTCAGCATTGTTAAAGGAAAGGAGGACCATGTCTGCAAGTTGAAGAAGTCACTGTACGGCCTAAAGCAGCCTCCTAGGCAGTGGTACAAAAGTTTTGATACATTCATGATTGGACACAGGTATGTCAAAAGTAAGTATGACAATTGTGTCTATTTTAAGAACTTTATTGATGATTCGTTCATCTATTTATTACTTTATGTGGATGATATGCTTATTGCAGCAAAGAATTATTTAGAAATCAGTAAATTGAAGATTCATCTTGCTAGAGGATTTAAAATGAAAGATTTAGGTTCAGCAAAAAAAATTTTGGGCATGGAGATACGTAGAGATCGAAAGTTGGATAAATTGTGGCTATCTTTGAATGAGTACATTGAGAAGATCTTCGCTAGATTCGGGATAGAAAATTCAAAGCCTGTGGGTACTCCTCTTGCTACACATTTCAGATTATCGACAATATTATCTTCAGTTCAGATGCTGAAAAAGAATACATGTGACGTGCTCCCTATGTAAGTGCAGCTAGAAGCGTCATGTATGCAATGGGTTGCACTTGACCAGATATTTCTCATGTCGTTAATATTGTTAGCAAGTATATGGCTAATCCAGGAAATGAGCATTGACATGCGGTAAAATATATTCTACCTTACCTGAGGGGTACATAAGATAAGGGTCTGATGTTTGATAGAGCTAACAAGTTTGGTGACAAGTTTATTGGTTATGTTGATGATGACTTTGCAAGTGATTTGGACTATAAGAGATCTACTACAGGTTATGTGTTTACACTTGTTGGCGCTCTAATCAGTTGGAGGTCGATGCTACAAACCACTGTTACCTTATCTACGACTGAAGCAGAATCCATGACTGTTACTTAGGTAGTGAAAGAAACCATTTGGCTGAGAGGGGTTGTAAATGATTTGGGCTTAGAATATGATGTGACTGTTTTTTATTGTGACAGTTAGAGTGCAATACATTTGGCGAAGAACCAAGTATATCATGCATGAACAAAGCATGTTGATGTCAAATACCATTTTATTCATGAGATCATAGTTGAAAGTGATATCTTGTTACTGAAGATTGACACCAAGAAGAATGTTGCAAATATGTTGACCAAGCCGGTTCCATTACAGAAGTTCAAGCTCTGCTTGGACTTGACTAATGTGTTCCCAAGATAAGCGCCTATGAGGGCGCGTGTAGAGAAGACGGTCGATGAAATTTTTTTGGAATTCAAGCTAAGGTGGAGATTTGTCGATTTGCCTTGTATTCCAAGATAAGTCTCGGTTAAGTTTCCATATTTTGTTGGGATATGAATACTAAATGTTAAGAAACGAATACTTTTTGGATATCTCCAAATTGGCAAGAGATAGGGGCATAAAGTTTTTTTACCTTACATGATCTCTCTAGGTTTCCTATTTATTTACGTAGAGTCCATTGTTTATTATCTAACTAGGTTTCCTATTTATTTGGGTAGAGTCTATTGTTTATTATCTAAGATTATAGATAAGTCTTAATTAGATTAGGGTGAGGCTTTGAGTCCACATGGAAAGGGATAAAGTTAGGAAAGTTGAGATTGGTTTGACGTAGTTGTCTTTGAAGCTTAATTCTCTCTATATAAAGATCCTTTTCTAGAGAGAGAACGCATGTGTAGAAAAAGTAGGCCATACATGGGTGCACTTTAGGTTTTGTCACCTCTTATTGAGATATATTGTAGTGAGAGAAAGTACATAGAGAAAAAAATTAGAGGGAAACTTTGAGCGGTTTTGCAGAGAGAAAATTGTAGAGAAAAAGGCTTTGTGGGAGATTGAGTCTCTTGTTCTCTTAAGTAAGTTATCTTGTAATTTTTTTTGTTTGATTTAATAAAAAACATCGATCGTCTTGACCCGTGGATGTAGTCAGATGTGACGAACCACTTAAATCCTGATGTTCTTTTTCTATTATTTATTTCCTACTTTATTTTTGTTGCTTATTGCTTGTTTTTATCGATTCTTTTTCTTGTACTTTATTTGCAAAAAATCAATTCATCGGATCTAGTCAAAACTAGTCCAATCACTAAGGGACCGGTTAAATTGAATTTTAGAAAGAAAAAAAACGTATATATAATAGTTCAACATTGTAAATTTTATTAAAAATATTTACCTAATTTCATCTAGATGGTTGAACCAGTTAAAACTAACTGATCCGACCGGCTAAAAAAATGTCAAATATTGGTTTTGACTGGTTTTCGACCTCAATTTTTAATTTAGACCAGACCAATCAAGGTAAAAAATAAACATATGAAATCTTTTAGCATTAATAGAGCATACTATATACGAGATTATCTAATGGTCTAATATTAACTCAAAAATGATAATAAATCGGAGTGTTGGTGAAGCTTATGTCAAGGAGAGAAGTTTGGAACATATGTTAACTTATTAAGATTAAGGCTTTTAAAAAACCTTCTAGCAAGATTATTGGAAGATTTATGCCCAAGAATAAGTATTTCATCGACAAAGAGAAGTTGGAGGTGATTATTAGAGAGATGGTGGACCGGTATCAGCCATAGACGTATGATCACGCCTTTAACTAGGTTAGGAGATGAGGGCAGAGGATGAGATGAGCTTAGTTTCAAGCACAGGTACTGGGAACATAAAGGTTTTGGGAGAGGGATGGAGTTGGTTGTTGTGAATTTGTGATACAAAAAAATAACCTTATGAAATATTATATCCTAATAAGCAAAAATAATTTTTCAAATTAACTCAAGCACTTGATATCCTTTTGGCCAAAAGAAGATCCAATAAAACTGCCTGGATGAGCCCGGGTGTCAAATTTGTGTTTAACGATCGGAGGGGAGGGGATGAGACGAAATTAGTTAGTGGGAACACAAAGGTATTGGTTGAAGAATGGAGTTGACTGTTGTGATATGAAAAAATAATCAAGCACTTGACTTCCCTTTTGACCAAAATGAGATCCAATAATAATGCCTGGATTAGCCCGGGTGTCAAATTTGTATTTAATGGTGGGATTGTGGGCATAGAAGTTACAAGAGATAGACATTACAATAAATGTTAAAAGGACAATATGAAATTTAACAAAGTCAAACTTGCTAAAAATTCAAGAAATTCACAAGAAAAAAAAAATGTAATGCCAAAAAGATAAACAACATGAAAGATGAAACATGTTTGATTGTGATATTTGTTAAAGCAAATATAAAAGTTTAGGTTGAGCACCAAGCCCAGGTATGAGAAAGCTAGTAAATATAAAAGTT